CCCCCCCAACCACACTGGTTCACACTAGAAGTGCTGGCCTGACAAACATACTTGAAAAGGCTCTGCAAATTCTGGGCTCCCTATTCCTAACATACACGCCTAATTCCTTCTTCTGTAAACTTCCACAGATCTAATCTGGGACATCCTATGTTACTTTACAGTGGTTTATATGAGATATGCTTACTTAGAACAGGAAGAAACATACATATAACTAAGATGGGGCAAAGGAAAATGGAACAGACACTTCCAATATATTAAGGGTAGCATTTCCAAGCTTTGACTTTTACGCTGCTTCTTCGTTCATACTATCATATGTCTCTGTGTGTGTGTATAAAAGTGAAGGGGTATATATATTTGTAGTCTTATATATCTACATGTTTGTGCGTGTGTATGTATATACACATACCTTCACTTTTATTTTGCTAGTTTCTTTATTCTGACAAAAAAACCCTTACAACAGAAACTAAGGAAAAAACAATTGGGATCTAAACACTACTAGAACACAGAATCACTAACAATTTGGAGGAAACAGCTGATACAGGTAATACGAAAGGCCATGATTAGAAATATGAGTTCAAGTACAGACCAAGGACAAAGGCAGTTACAGTTACCTTTCTCTGTACCATTTTGGGCTAGAGTTTGGTTTTGAGAGAGCAAAAGCAAAATTAGAGAGTAACGTACGTGTTATAAATACAGCCTTTTTTTAAAAAAGCTATAAAGTTTCACATTTTCTTGGTACACAGAACTTTGTCAACATTTACATTCTTAATATTTCAGCACTGCAATTAGCAAAACACTGTCACTACAAGCAATATGGTTACACAGTAGAATTAAGTACAACAAATTGTATGTAAAGTTTAGAAAACGATAGCATGTGTCTCTCCATACTACAGTAAGGTCAGATGAAACTACACATATACCTTCACTTTCCTTTAAGCCAATGCACAGAGAAGCAGAACCATGTACGTAAGACAACACATCTAGCTTTGCTGTTCAGGTAACAGAAACCAGAAGCAGCTTGTGTGGAGGGCTTCACTCGTCTGAATTAGAAGAGGAGTTACTAAAAAACCCTAAACTTGTCATTGACCAGGTGCATCCAGGCTGTGAGCCAGCAGACAGTAAGTACACTTCCAAGCACAACACTGAATCCTGCAAGGAATGGGCTGCCCAGGGAGGTGGTGGAGTCCCCATCCCTGGAGGTGTTTAAGGTTGACATAGCACCTAGGGATATGGTGTAGGTGGGAACTGTCTGTGTTAAATGCTTGGACTGGATCATCTTCAAGGTCTTTTCCAACCCAGATGATTCTGAAGTTTCTATTCCACCATTCTGAAACCAGTGTATGCTTCCAACTATATAATTATTTTCTAATTTAAAGCCTACTTTATCTACACTAAGGTGTTTCCAAGCCAGTTTAGCATGTCTTATACATTTCAATCTATGCCTTACTTTACAGTAGATAAACACTCTCTGAGAAAGCCTAACGAATGTATAAATGCAATATATTAAACTCTAGGTGAACTGTGGCAGCAACGACCATTACATAGAACGATTTTCTGAGCAGTGTGCAACTTTTAGACATCACCAAATCTAATCATAGCAAGACACATCAAAACACCTTTTGAGCTGTGATTGCTACAGCAAACAGATGCATAGTTAGATCGTGCACAGCTCTGAAACTACCAGGAGAGTTAATTTCATGTATGAATTTTAAACTCTTCAGCATTGCCTTTGGACTTGCCTTGGTGGTTATGAAAGGGACACTAGATACATACACTTCGGTGGTTGTATTTGCATGAGTTGGTAGGTGTTTCACAGTTGGCGTACTTGATAACACATCAGGTCATCCCAGTAGGAAAGGAATGCTTGTTCGCCCGGGGGTCCTTTGCAAGATTAACCACTCAACACACTCCCTGTACGTCACCTGAGTGTCTCCCCCCTGCGTCAGCACCGGCTGATCTCCCCCAGCCCGTGCAAACGCGGTGACACCCCCACCTTCCGGCAGGCAGCAGCCCCCGGAGCGCGCACCGGCGCTTCCCCGCGGCCGCAGGGCAGGGCCGGAACACCCGTTCCCACCCCCGGGGGCCGGAGGGGGTGAGGCGAAGGGGCGGGCAGCGGCCCGAGGCTACCCCGCTCGCCACGATGGCCCCAGGGCGGGCAGCAGCCGGCGGCGGGCCC